TGGGATGAAATGATAAAAAAAACCCAAACACATTATCATCATCTTCAGATTTATTACATTCTCATTGTATCCGGCCAAGTTAAGACTATTTCAAAATCTTGTGAATGCCTGTATATAAATCATTGTATTGCCAGAAACAAAGTGGATTCAAAGAATATTTACAAACTACACAGGAGCGGACAGGGTTTTATCTGTTTCAGCCAATGATGGAGGCACTTATGAAACAGTAGTTTCTGCGATGAGGAGGAGGAGAAAGTAGCAATTCGTACATGACTTAGAAACTGGTCAAAAAGTTCCAACAAATTATCATTTTGGAAATTCTTGCAAAAATCAAATAATTATCGAAATTTAATGAAAGTTTCACGAATGAATAAAATTATTTTTGAAATTTTCTTTTTAGAAATTTTGGTAAAAATATTATTTTCTTTTTACATATGTTAACTTACTTAATTTCAGGAAATTTCCAGAAATTAAATTTTTACCCGAAATTTTTTTTTTAGTTAAAAGCGTGACACGTTGGAGAATGTAACTTTTCATTTTTTTTTCAAGCGACTAGATATTTCAGGAAAATCTACTCTGAATCTTGAAATAAGAAATGGAATAAATCTCTGATATTATTTAATTAGGAAAACTTTTAATTACTTTTATAAATAAGATGTAATAAGTACACTATTTTATTAAGAAAAAAAATTCTCGATGAATAATGAACTTTTACAAGATATGTTTTAATTTAAAAAAAATATATTATAATAATTTATAATACATTCGGTACCTCCACCTTTTTGCTAAAAAAACAAACAAACAGTATAGCATAATTAAAAAAAAAAAGGCCTTAAATTTAAAAAATTAAAATTCGGCATTACATTCATCGGGTTAGGAGATATTGTTATTGAGTGAAAAAAAAAAGCTTAGTACAAAGCATTTTACTCCAAGATTTTTAAAATAATTTGTGTTTTTTTATGTTTATAAAATATTACGTAGAGTACCATTTTTGAAAGTATGGTCGATCGTAACAATTATTCTATTTAATAAGAGCGATGACTACAGTAAATTTAAAGTCAACATTCCTCAAATTAGATTACGGGGAATATTTTCTAACATTTTTACTCATTACTTAAAAATTATATAAAAAAGGGCACATCCGTCATTTTCTTAAATTAAGTTTTAACAGATAAAGTCTCCGTAGAACAACAATAAAACTCTCAACAACTTCATCAGCACTTGTTACGTGACTGATGAGCTATGAATAGTAAGTAATCACTGCAAAGTTTTGTTTGTAAAGTCCATTTCTTCGTTATTTTAAACTTAAAGTAAACTGTACTTTTTTTTAGTCAGATTAATTATGCCTTAAGCCAGTTAATATTCCTCAAATAAAATTTCAGAAATGCATATTTTATTTTTGGAAGATTTTTTTTTTAATGCAGAGAATTACACTGCGATGAAAGATGACTAAAAAGGATGCTAATCAGCTATTTTAGAAAGAAATCGATTCCAATCAATATAATTTCTGTTTGGAATACAGCAGAGTATTTTGCTTACTGGAAATAGTAAATGTAATCCTTTAGCTTTGAATAAAGCTAAAGTGAAAGGTTCAAGAAAGCGTTTTCATTTATAAAAAAAAAAAACAATTATGAAGTGCAGAATAGTATGTTTTTTTAACGTCTGTCACCAAAATGAATGATGCAGTTTATTTTTATTTTTATTTTTTTTTTGTTTTTGTTTTTTTACACGTCAGGTGTCAACAAATGATGTGGTTAGTAGTACACTTTTTGTACACGTCGGCGGTCACCAATATGTTGTCGGGGATTCATTCACGTCATATCAGCAGTAATTAGCCTTGTGTTACTACAATTTATTTATATTTTTGTGTGTATTGGTGTGTGTCTTTTTTAGTTTACAATTGTTTTATGGTACATGTGATAAAAGGGAGAAATTACTCCGTATTATTACACGCCATATCACAGAGAAAAGGTGGACACGTGTTGCCCGTACCAAGGCTTGTGACGAAGAGATTGAATTTAACGTCTTTTGGCAGGATGTCATTTCGGGCAAAAACAGTTTTTTGCATGCTGGTAGTAGTTTTTTTCTTTATTTTTTTCTTTAATTTATTTCATACAATGGTTTTATGTTATTGTTTAATAATATTTTATTATTATTATTTTTATATTATACTTTATTTTATTTATAATAATAATCATAATAGTCCAACAAACCTTCTTTTTTCGCGAACACGCCGAAAAATTGACAATTATTCCTGTACCAAACTTTATACATATTCATCTAAGCGGAGGACTCGCTACCTTCTTTTACCTATGTATTAAAGAAATGTTTTTTGTTTTATGTAAAAGTTTCCGGCGGTTTTTGTTATTTCTTTTTACCTGTGTTTGTATTTTCACATTTATATATATATATATATATATATATATATATATATATATATATATATATATATATGGCCTAGTGCCCCTTTTGTTTGCCTCAGAGTTCTTTGATAGGCTCCAGAGGCGGATATGCAATGTGGTTGGCCCTGCCCTGGCGTCTCGTCTACAGTCACTTTCTCACAGACGCGCCGTCGCCTCCCTGTGTCTGTTCTACAAATACTTTCATGGATATTGCTCCGAGGAGCTTCCCAGACGTCATGAGTTCCAGCGCCCTACGAGGCTGGCATCTCGCTCTCATCCCTTCACTGTCGAAACTCCTAAATGTAGCCGTCTCTTCTACTCTAATAGCTTTATGTCTTGCACCTCTCGCCTGTGAAACTCCCTTCCCTTCTCCTGTTTCCCTGTGAACTATAATCTCCAGCTATTCAAGTGTAATGTCAACCGACATCTCCAGTTGCCTTGATCTATCCACTACCCTCATCCTCATCCTTTCTTCTATCACTCCTATCTGATCTTGCTCTAAATTATCTGTAACCCCTTGCGTCCTAGTGGCTTCCCGCCTTGCTTGGGGTGAAATGCTTAATATATATATATATATATATATATATATATATATATATATATTTCTCTTCTAGTTTTACTTTTTTGGTTAGTAATAAACCTGCCGATGAACTGGACTTCGCCTTCTACTGAGATTTAATTGACTTAAGGCTTCGAAATTACGCACGCGTATGACCACAGAGGTGTACTTTGTGGATAGAACAATTCTGCTAAAGGGCTTTAACAATTTCAACATTTTATATATCATTTTTTTTTTCTTAATTACCTAAGTAGTTGGAAATTCAGTTTCAGTTTTTCGAAACATTTATTAATATGTTTTGGTTTGAAAGCTTGTATTATGAAAAAACTCACAGACGAAAGGCCGTAAGCCACTCTCTGCTCTATCACTGTTTCTATGGAAAGTGTTCAGAAGAACGACATTCTTAAGTTCTACCATCAGTTTTAACCGGCCTGTGTATGACGAAAGACTACATCCGCGACTTGGGTAAGACGATAAACTACATCCAACAGCAAGGATTCTTTTCAGGAGTTTTTGAGGAGCGTGGAACCACGTCTTAATTGCTAGTGTTCGCAGGTCCAACCTGACCCAGGGTGGTAGCATCTGTTAGGATCACAGCTATGGGCAAATAGTTAATCCCCAAACTGAGGAAAAAAAAATATGACTGTAAAAATAGGTTTTAATACCAGCAATAATTTTTTTGATGAATAAATATTACCAGGTATACATTTTTGAAGAAAAAATATTACCAGGAATACATATTAGATGGAAAAAAATATTACCAGAAATACATTTTTGTAAATGATTATTACCAGCAATACATTATTACCAGCACTAATTTTTTTTAAACAAAAGTTATATTACCAGCAATACATTTTTGGAAAAAAAACTACTAAAAATAAAAATTTTGTCAAAAACAAAACAAATCAGATGCTTTAACGTTCACGGCTAAGAGCCGACATGTCTGGCATATTGTAGCAAAACACCCTCATTCACTTTTTCACTCGAGCAGCTTCTTCCAGAAAACCAAAGCTTTGTAAACCTGACTCCCAAGAGGATGCTTCCCTGATCTGTACTATATTGGCCTTGGTGTTTATCGACTTCCACGTTGTGCCATGAATAAACACGAAATCTACCTAATAAAGTTATTTATGCTAAGCGATAGGAAACCATTTTTTTTTTTGTGTGTGTGAATTTGAATTCTCGTCGCCACTGTTATGTCTTCATTACATTGAATGAAGATGACATAATCAAGAAGCAGCATGTCACATGGAGTCTACTTGCTGAAATAGGTAGTAGACAGATAAGCTCGTTTACTCCTTCCACTGACAATTCTAGGCATCCGTATTTATGAATGAGTCCAAATCCTCTTCTGGAGATGTGTGTTCATCTCCACAACAATACAATATTTACTAAGTTAGACTTTCTCAAAAATCAGTATTTTGAAAATTATTATGAAAATTGTAGTTATTTTGGGTTAAATAGAATTCTGAATATATTTTTAGTTAACATTATTCTTCAAAAGCCACTTGAAGCATTTGAGAATAGGTGTTAATATTTCTAACATACAACGTGTGTTAGCACGTGCGATACCCTGTCTTCATCAGCCGCCGACCAGGGGTGATCTCACGGTTTCGGTGGCTATGGCGGGACCGCCACCCCTGGCGCCACCAGCAGCGTTTGCCACCAGGCAGGGTATGAAGATAAGCTAATTGATCGTTCCTTTGTGTAAATTCTATCCGTAATGGAAGTTTCCTGAACGCGTTTGCCGTTATTGACGCGCTCGTAAAAATCGTTATAGGCGACCACGCAAATATTTCAATTGCGTATGTAAGATTGTGATGATATATATATATATCTGGTTAGAAGGAAACTTCTGTGCTTTCCAAACAATCACATTTGTTTAGAAACCATAACAAGTATATAACCAACCATATATATATATATATATATATATATATATATATATGATGATGTGCGAGGAGCAAGAAAGAAGGTCGAGAACCGCCGCTGTCGGGGACAATGCAAAAGATATCTGTCCCTGACAGCGTGAACCAAACCGGCACAGGAGGCGCGGCAAACAGACGGCATCAGCGGTTAGAATTAAAAAAAAAAAACGCGCGCGCGCGACCGGAGCAGTCGACGTCCACAACAGACTCGCACCCCAGCACCTACCAAAATGTCGAGCACATTAACCGTGGTGTTGTCCGTACAGCGACCGTATGCTCCTGAAAAAATGATTTCGGTTGAGTTCTCTGTGGAGGAAGTGTGGGTTTTGTAAACAGTGACTATTACGGCTAATGTTGCATGACTCTTCGGTAAATCGAATCGTTTTCTCTCGGTCAATGTGTGTTCATCTAAAAATAAATACGCTTAAATTCACCTTCGCCCCTGCCGTGCGCCAACGGCTTAGTGGTAGAATCCCAGACTGACGCCAATTCAGTCGGGATTTCGGTCCTATCTAGCGGCAATCGGACATCTAGCTACACTGATGTGCTGTGATACAGCGAAAGTGTCTGTCTGTTGATGACAATATCTCTCTATATATGAGATAACGACATGCAATTTTTATATATCAAGAACAATGTAAGACAATTGGGTAGAAGTTGCTGAATAAATATCTTCAAAACTTCCATTGAGTTCCATCTTCGTACCAGTAGTCCTTAACTAGGAAGAAAAATCTTTGCTTTTTTCCCCTGATAGCTATATATTATATAGCCTTGTTGTTGATTGACTTTTGCATCGCACTATGAATATACACGTACTCCATAATTTTTTTCCGTGAATTTTGAATTTCTCTGGCTATTTATGCTAAGCAAGGGGAGGAATGTTTTGTGTGTGAACTCGAATTCTTGTCGCTAATTTTTATGTAATCATTGCTTTGAATAAACATGACACAATCAAGAAATAGTAGGTCACATGGAGTCGACGTAGTCTTGTTGAAATACGTACTAAGCAGGTAAGATCTCTCTTTACTTGTTTACTCCTAATATGTAGTGTACAAAAATACAAATAAGCCATATGGGAAAAATGGGATTGTGAGGTGGCTGGTCTTCCTTTGCCCTATCCTATCGCTAACTTAGCTAGCCTCAATTGCTGTCCAATAGCTTACACATTGCTTTTACGCAACAATATCTCATCTACACAACGCTGCTATAACTGAACACAACAATGCCACATTTATTCTAAGAATTCCTACCTAATTCTATTTACACAGTCTTTGTGGAGGATCTGGGTTGACGAACATCTAAAAATATATATCCCAATGTTCATGATGTAAAAACTATCTACACAGATAAACAAAAATAGTTTTAGCAACGGGCACCACCACAGTCTAATCATGGAAGAAATAACAGTTAACTGAACGAAAGAAATTCTGCAGGATTTATAAAAAGATTTCCATGCACCCGTTCTACAATCAATCACACTAGTGCTCACACATTTAGACACAATAACAATTACGAAATTCACATTCGAAAATGAAAGACATCTCACAGTTACCAGAGAATTGAAATCCCTGTCACCTAAATGGGGAACGGCTGCTGACCATCTATATACTAGTGAAGTTAAATTCAGCGTCTTGAATCAAAATGAAAAACTACTTACGCTAACCTAAACTGAGATGACAAATGCTTAAATCAAGCGACCAATATTTTCATTCCTGGGTCACCTCTAGATGCCACTCTAAATTAGCTCCTCTGAAACAAACCAAACGCGAATAATTCAACCTCTTTCTCCGAAATTTGATGAAGCAAGTCGCCGCCTTTCCGCTGTAATTTTAACTTTATGCTGTTGCGTAACGAAGAAAAATATTTGAGAAGAGGAAAACTTCTCAACTCCATAACACACCCTCCATCGCGTCGTCCAAATCATGACTTTCATAATGTCAAGTAAACATAGTGTTCATGCCTCTTCAACTGAGGCACGACATTGCTACAAACGGAACTGGCCTCGAACACAAAAATACTTTCCGTCCAGGAGGCGAACCATGTCACCTTCAATAAGTTCGCATATCGGTCGTACAACGCTACAGTGAAACAAATTATACCCCAAGGACTCAACCGCCTGACCGCTACGCACGCACTTTGGCGTAACTGCCAGCCACGTTGCACAGAGCTTTTTGACGACGCAGAAGGCCTTCTAAAACACCAGCGAGGTGAGTGATGTCTCGTAGTTATTGAGACAATGCCACCTGGACGCCTAAGACCACAGAGAGCTTAAATCATCATTCGTCAAACTGAGCTCATCCCTTAGGGTATCTTGAGACACTCCCTCTTGCACTAACACACGATAAGGAGACAACAGTTAGATGCCGCAAAGGCCTTCCTTAACTTGTGTAAAGTCTTTCACAGCAAGTCAACATTCAGCTAGAGGAGTACGCCGGGCCTCCTCCTCGCCATCAGGACGTAAACGCTTTCTTAGCGTCTTTATTAGAGAAGCAGCCTTTACCCTCACCTTGCATACACATTCGATTCAGGAAGCTTCTGTTGACGAATCTCAACATCGGAAATTTCTTGAAATACTGAGAATCGGGAAAGAAACTTCCAGCCTTGCATTTAAGAGAAGCCTCCTCAGAGACAACAGACGAACTGCAGTCTCTGCCTTTTCTCAGACCCCCAACCAATTCTTTTACAACTGGAGGTTGGGGCCAAACCAGATACAGAGTATCTTGAGAGGCCCGTTCGTCCCAATGTAGGGTCTGGGAAGAAAGACTCTCTTGCATACGCTCAACCACAAGCCCACAGACTTGTCGCGGTTGATTTTGGCTCCTGTTACCTACTTATGCATGCCCAAGAGTTGATCCCCTGATATGACCACCAGATCGCAGGAGGTCCTATACATTTAGGTATTTCTTCAGGATTCTTATTTACATGTATGTATTTACTTATATAAGTATGTTTTAGGTATAGCATTCTTGTATTATTTATATGTCACTTATGAAATTTATGTCATTTATGCGATAAATGTCATTTATGAGATTTATTTCATTTATGAAATATATGCCATTTATGAGATTTATGTCATTTATGAGATATATGTCATTTATAAAATTTATGTAATTTATGAGATATGGCATTTATGAGATTTATGTCATTTTTGAAATATATGTCATTTATGAGATTTTAGTCATAAATACCTTTACGTATTTCCTCAGTATTCTTTATGCATGGCATTTCTCTGGCATAAACTTCTTCTTCTACTGATCAAATGGTCAAACTCTTTGACCGTGAAAGTTCATCAACTGTGCATGCTGTATGAGAGAAGCACCATCCTTTACCGATTGGGGTGTCTCCAATAGTTGGATTCTTACGGAACGTATCAATATCGCGTACCAGACGAACTATCTCACGGCACAGTGACGTCCAAATTGAAAAAATTGAGAAACTTTGGGGTTCTCGCCCGTGAATGAAATGCTCAGAGTGGACACTTGGGATCGGATCTCTGTATTTGAGGTTGGACGTGGCAGGAAGGTTGGACCACATAGCCAAGAGGTATTTTGAAGATGAGCAGCAGGGACAGACTTTGTGGCGCACAGACTACGGAGTTATGATCAGTGTGCACGTATCGTCCCTATTCCGGGTGGAATGATACCTATATCCCTTGAACTCGGTTGCTGATATAGGCGTAAAAGCTCCTCGTTTCATTCTAGATGTAACCAAGGATCGTCTTACTGTCAGTTAGAAGGTAGTGTTGTTGTCGATCCATTTATCAATTGCTGAAGAAATAACTTCGGCCAATTCGAATGCTAAGATGACAGCACAAAAATCTAGCCTGGGAACGTTGTGTTCAGGTCGTTCCTTTCTCATAACAAAGCCCATTTGACCGTTTCCGCTGCTATCAATTATTTTGATTTAAGCGACAGCGGCTAAAGCTTTGGTTCATGCATCGCAGAAAATGTGTAGTTCTTATAGAAAATTTCTGAAGAAGACGCTATTGTTGTAGTTTTTTAGGTATGTATGTACTAGTGAGCTAGCCTAAATGACTTGACACACTTTATAGTCCACCAATAGAAGGTTAACCAATCAGAAGACGTAAAATATTCAATCCGTCGTGTATAAAGGCGGCCATTTTGTTTACTCTCTCCAAATGTCCAGTGACCAACTTGTCAGGCGAAAGAACAGAAGGAAGAACTACACTCTGCTACTTTACCGAGATATCTACTGTTAACCTGAACAACGCTTCCCTACTGTCTTCGAAATATTCACTGCTAACCTCTGGATTCTATACTCAAAGACGACCGTCATCATGAACAACAGCTATAACTAAAGAGCTGTGGAGATTCTCCAGAGAAGCCTTCCATGCAGTCCAAGGCTCTTCCCTTACGTTTGGCAATTGGGAATCCCAGTAAGTTTGCCTTTTGTCAGGTAGGTTATGCGTCTTTTTTCTCTATCTCTCCTATTTTCAACCCATCCTCTGAGTATCAAATTTTCCAAATCGTCTTTCGTGGTTGTAGAAACATTTGCTATAGACATTTTTGCCGTAGAAAAACACACCTTCAGGAATTTTTACCGTAGAATACTTTGCCATATAGGATCTTTGCCGTAAGACAATTCCGTTTTAATTTTTAATATGCGAAGTTCCTTGTTTATCTGGCTCACGCAATTGTTACTTCGATTTAAACATTTTAATAAGCGAAGTTATAGGATCAAAATCCTGCATTATTCATCCTCGTCAGTGAGGATCGCAAAAATTTCAAATTGACACCAGAAACTACGTCATGCAATTTCATATTTTAGACTTAACGTTAAACTTTATTTTAACATAATATCATTCAATAATTCTAACTCAAGGAATATATATTATTTCAAACAAACTTACGATTTGAATAACCGACTTCAGTATAAAATATCTGATCAAAGAAAGATAACCCTTTCAAACTCTCAGTAATTCTTTTGAAATTTGCACAAATTATTTGCAAACATAAACTGCTTTGTTATAAAATGACAATTGGAAAAAAAGCTTAGATTTTGCCGACGCGTTTCGTCTTCCGACTTTGTCAAGGCAAAAATGAAATCGAAATGTTTTTGTTGTTATAGTTACATTAAAAAATTCAAATTTAAAAAAGATAGACGCTTCTGTCTAAGCTTTTTTTTCTGGTTAATGTAAATTACCTTTATAGTAAGGGATTTTTTTTCCATGTCGACAATATAGTTAAATTCCTAGATCAATTCTGTGGACAAGACAGATTGTTATAACAATCTGTCTTGTCTACAGAATTGATCTGGGAATTTATCTATAAACTGTTTTAATTTCACAATAAATACCTAAATATTGAAATATACGAAAAACTGCAGCAAAATTGTCCGACGGCAAAAATCCTATACGGTGAAGTTTCTTACGGTGAAAAATCCTGAGGCGAGTTTTTCTAAGGCAAAAATGTTTACGGCAAATGTTCCATATAGGTGTGGCACCATTTATCGAGGCAGAAAAAGAAAAGAAAGAAAAGAAGGCAGAAAGAGAGGCGAGACCAAACGTAGATGATAAGCAGAACACACACACGGCTAAGAGACAATGGATAAAGGATATTGTGATAAGTAACAAATGGCGAAAGAGTGTCATTACAATGACAGGGAAATTCTGAGTAAAAAAAAAAAAAAAAGAATCAGATATGTTTTGGCGACGGCTGTGTTATCTAGGGATATGTAAACAAACTGTTGGTACGGGAATCATCTGATTATCAACTACAGACCGACTGGCCAAAGAAAAATCCAAATGAAAATGTTATTTCGATAAGTGACGAAAAACAGGTAACTAAAAGGACTTTGGATATATATGAAAATTTAATTGTATCAAAGCCACACACGATTGTCCACTGACCGACTTCTTTCGAGGGAACATCTTTATGCCTGCCATAATAAAATTATGTTATCAAGAAATGTTCGCCAAAGAATGAATGGGAACTTAGAAATGTTTCTTTTTGGGGCGACGTTTGGCCGTGTTGAGAAGACCACCCATTCTGATAATTAGCGATAAAATAATTGACGAAGACCAGGTGTAGAACAAGAGTTATGACCACCGCGTTGCGGCTAGGGAAAATGATAACTGCGATTAGGAGGAAGTAAAAGGAAGAAAAAAAAAAAAGATAATTTTTTTTTTTAGTTAAGCAAGATATTTTTTTTCCTGAAACAAAGCCGCGGATTCGTCCACGCCCGACTGGGACATCATTGGTCGAGTGGTGATCACGTAACGCACGAAGGAGGCTGTAGCCGCCCATCCAGAGGGCAGGTAGGAAAAGCTGCTACGAAGAAGTGGGGGGGGGGGCAGCTCACGCCACTCTGAAGTATGGTGAGAAGGTGGGAGTAAGAAAAGGCTCCCAAAAATGGAAAAGAGTGGGAAATTCCTAACCAGAAATAAAAGAGGTGGATACGTATTTAGAATTATCGAGGAACCCCCGACGCCGACAGACCCACCCCGGTTTTGGTCGGCGTCCATATAAGCGAAGCCACAACGAGCAGAAATCATTTTGAGTTCAGTTCCAGTTGAGTCCCAGTTGAGTTTCAGTTGAGTCCTAGACAGTTCCCAGAGTCAGTCTCCATTTGAAGCAAGCCTCGCAGATAGCTGACTTGAAAGATTCACGCACATTGCGAACTCTTCTTCAATCCAAGAACAAGTTATTTTGAAGAGCGACTTAGATCCATACCACCAAAATAAGTTTTTCGACTTTCGCCTGAAGACACACCAAAACCCAATTTAAAGAGCAAACAACTTGAAGCGTTAAATCTCGCCTAACGGAAAACAACGTGTCACAATCCATAGAACGGGTCGGGAGATAGACGCAGTCCTATGTATCGAACAACTAGACATAAAGTTTGTTATCTTTGTCTTTGATATCTTGAACTTTTGAATTTTCATTTTGTTTTCTTTTATGCATATTTGTGTGGTGTCACCCCCGTTGAACTCAGTTTGCATTACGGCCCCAACTACTCATTGATCTCGTCTGCCTAAGATCAATTCACAACGTGGGTAGGCAGACTGGGGATCAAAACAGTTACTTTGGTAACCAGGCGTTGGAAGCGAGTTGGGAACGACGAGGCTGATATCAAATCTAACCAGATTCCCACCCGAATCATCAAAAATTTAGAACGTCATATTTGGGTGCCGCGACCGATACCAAGCCAGTTGGTCGTCACATGACGAGACAACACGACTGACGCGACAGGCGGACGTCACGTTTGGAGCGGCGACACCCGAACGGAGCTGCGAGGAGCGAACAGCTGGCGCCGCGGCGAGGACGTCACAGTTGCTGCCGTGGTAGACCAGGATAGGACGTCACAGTTGGCGCTGCGACCAGGGGACGACGTCACATATGGTCTTTCAGTCATTATCTGCCTAGAAATTTCGGCCTCTATTCTTTGATGTCAATTATAAATGTTCTTTTTGTTGCCATCTTCTCAATAATTTCGTCGTTGCTTTCATGTTTGGTTCATGGTATTCTCAGCACCCTTCTGTAGAACCACATTTGAATTGCTTCAGGTCTCTTCTTTATCAGTGAGGAGATTGTCTAGCATTCGCTGCTATAGAGAACGTAAGAGTTCAGTACTTATTTTTTTTTTCTGACAAAATTTTCCTGTTTCTTAATACCTTGCTTAGCTTTTGGAAGGTATATTTCGCATTTTCTGTCCCCCTGTTAATACGCTTCCCAGATATATAAATTTTTGCAATTCTTTGATTTTTTTTATTATTTTATAAGTAAGTATATGATTTAACGCGTGGTATAATCATTTTTTTATTTCATAGAGGGATCAATTTACAATTAATCTACGTAGCAAACTGAACCCCCGCTAAAAATTTAGAAAATAAAAAAAATCTCTTTCTTCCGATATTCGTGATCTAAAGTTGTTATTCGATAGTAATAAGAACAAAATTCTGATATTCTGTGTTTCTGTAGAAGTGTACGCTTTCTCTAGATTTATCAATAAGCCTGAAAGGTTTGGTAAAATTTGGAATCGAACTAGCAGAATAATTTTTCAAGAATTATTTTAATAAAATATCGTCTTCTTCGATGCTAGAAAATAATGTATATTTTCATATAATCAATGTATGGAAACTACAAATCTTTTCTGGTTTTGAAATCATTAAAATACTGACTGAACTGACAGGAAAAAAATAGATTATTTTTATTTCAAACTTACTAATAAGACATCCATTCGATCATCACATTTCTATCGAATGTAGGACAAGTCGGATTGATAGGTACCATACATTGATAGACTGTCAGCTTGGCTCCTTGTGATAATGAATTTAATAAAAATCAATTGCTGTTAAGCGATAGAACTGTGTTGGGAATCATTTTCCTGATTGAATATTGCCTATCGACTGTTGTCAGCGAATACAGAATGAAAAAAAAAATGCGATGTGAATTGGTTTTGACTTACTTTTATACGCATCGAGTAGTATTCTGGGTCAATGTAATTGGAAAAATTCTAGTTTTGCACCAGGAGTAAATGTAGTTTAAATGTAAATTCAATTTGGCAAAGTTGTGATTTTGGATACAGGTATTGGCTTATATGCAAGGTAGTTTGATTATTAATTCTTGTTATTAAGTTCTCTCGCAAAACATCACACTTAGAAGAATACTATTATATTAGTTCCAACTAAGACACTTGTAAAAAGATTGTTAGTGTTCTATCTAATAGTCTTAATTACGTAATCGACATTGTATATGCAGATGGTATAACTAGGTATTTACTCTGTCTCCCCACTAAGACGAATTGTAACACAAAGTCTTTTTTAAGGTGGGGACCTCGAGCACATACACCCGGGCTAGGAACAAAAACTGCCCGCGTCGGTTGCGCTGGCCACGGTGCGATCACCGATCCCTCTCTCTGGTGCAATGAGAGGTCACGGCATCGGGCAACTGTTCCCCAGAGCTGGGCACCGGTCAGTATAATTTTCCTCAGATGCGACTCTGTCCTTTGACATAGTCGTCCCTGAGTGCAATCTGCCCAAAGACAGAGACGCAACTGAGGGATGATAAATAATGTGTCATAAACCACTCAAGGGAGCGATTTACACACAAGATGCTGATGGTATAACTAATGTCAACGCTGAAAGCGAAATCAGAGTGTGGAGTTCAAGTCTTTGGTTAGGTAGTTATGTTCACTTTTGACCAAAATGCCACCGTGAAAGGTGTGACTCCGTCTCCCCTTTTGCCCTAGATGTCCAGTTCCTGGGGATTGATCAAACCTCGGACCTAGTTCTAACATATCAACGAACGTGGAGACTGGCTTGTAACATCCAATATTTCCAAAACCAACCGAGTAATATTTTATCACCACAAAGCAAACATTTAAACTTTCCCTGTCATTATGAGCAACTGTACTCTCAATGAGGCTTCTTGATTTGAGAGACTGTTTGGACTGAAGTTCGTCTCAGACTTCAAGTCGTACTCAAATATATAATCCATCGCTAAAGATTCTGGAGAAGAATAGTTGTTTTTTGTATCGCTCCAGAAAGAATCTGACTCCTCCTGCCATGCTCTACTTTCACAGGAGTCACATCAGATCCAACATAGAATAACGCTGCCATGTTTCGGTTGGATATGCTCAATGTTCTCTTTCAAGCCTTGTAACAGTTCAAAATCTTTTAGGTAATCATTTTACACTCTGCAACAAGTTTCAAAAAAAGTCTTCTGGCTACTCTATATCTAGTTCCATGAAAAGAAAGTTCAGACAAGTTCCATTACTTAGTTACACCGGTTCATACCTTTAGAGCTAGAACTCCGTTATGGTAATTTACCTACGCACCCATGATATAAATAGCTATAAATAGGAGCAGGTACTGCCTTTTGGAAGGTGAAGTTTCCGGCAGTCAGCTCTGACAGTCGGGCCGAACATTCTTGCTGTAACACTCTCGTTTGTATATGTTTGTATTACTGTTTCTGTTAATATATTTGTTTAACTCAATACCTCTCTGGAGTCTTTATTTCTGACTCTAACAAGGTCACAACAGATAGATAGATAGATAGATAGATAGATAGATAGATAGATAGATAGATAGATAGTGTTATGGTAACTTACCCACGCAGACAAGGAGATTCCCAGCTATAAATAAGGGCAGGTACTGCCTTTTTGAGGCTGAACATAATAAATTTAGAAGTAAGTAGTTTTTCACTATATACATTTATACTGTAAATTACTTTCACAGATCAGTCCGAGAATATAGGCTCCCTTCACGTCTTCTGTATACGAACCTTGAAGCCCAGAACGTTCTAGAAATTCTTGAGACACTTAAAAACTTCTCGAAAGTCTTGAAACCTCTAGAAAGTCATAGAAAATTCTCCGTCAAAAAATCAGCGCTGAATCTGTCTGGAATGTAATGCAAAATAGGTTAGTTTCAAAACCATAATGTCCAGGTCACAAAACAAAGTTTGCAAAGAATGTTAGGTATTTCTTTCGCTTCATTGACAGAAGTAATTAGGAAATAACACTTATTGACCAGACATAAAAAGACCAAAATTTTTGTTACACATTGCTATCAATTTTCGAACCGAATTAAAAGCCGCAGACTTTCAAAGCTGAATTTAAAGACAGCAGGACTTCTCACTTAGTTCATTATATTAAACTATTTACTCCTTAGTTCTTTATATTAAACTACTTTTCCATTAGTTCCTTATATTAAAATATGTACTCCTTAGTTCATTATATTAAAATATTTACTCCTTAGTTCATTATATTGAACTATTTACTCTTTAATTCCTTACATTAAATTATTTAGAGCTTAGTTCCTTATATTAAACTATATACACATTAATTCCTTATTTTCAACTATTTAACTCTTATTTCCATTATAAATAGAATATTTCGCGAATTTGCATTAAGTTCCTGTGTTTCTTTTGTATTTTGAAGTTTAGTACTTTTTTATTTCAAGTTGATGGATTATTAGAAAGGACATAAAGGGTTTTTTTTTATCAGTTTATGGAAAATGCATTGATGATGTCAGATAGGAAAGATAAATAGCAGAGACTACTAGAAAATGTAATAAAGCCATGGATTTTGAAAGGCCTAGTGATAAATTGTAAGAAGACATTATATATGGTTTTCAGCAAGTGCAAAATGCCAACGATACGTACTTGGAGAAATTACCAAAATTTAAACATTTTGGGTGTGTGAAGACAGAAAACGGTACACAGAAAGACCTATCGGAATAGTGAAAGATGCCTTTTGAAAGATAAGCAAAGCATTATGAAACAGGAAAAGTTCGTTAGAACGAACGAAAATAGTTTTGGACTGTTATTTCTATCGCAGTGAATGCTTGTCGACCTCCTCGTAGATGAAGTAGAGATTTGATGCAACAGAAAAAAATATAATTTTACCGAATAATACTGAGAGACCAAGGACTAAACATGTGAGTAACGAGGACGAGAAAATGGAGACGAAAAGTACGCTTAGACATAAAATCAGAAAGAGTTGAAATTTCTAGAACATGAAATCAGGAAAGAGGGCTGGGAAAGTTTGATACTCAGAAGACAAGTAAAACAGACGAAAGAAGCGAGTAAACCTCTATAACGAACCCGTGTAAATGGATGGGAGAACAGGAGGTGGGAGGGATGTCGAGAAGACAAATCTTGCTAAGAATTACAATCGATGGTAAGTTGTGGAGAGCCATAGTATTTTGTGAAGACTAACATCCACCATTTTTTTTATTTTTAAGGCTAGGTTATTACTCACCCATATTTCTCCTACCCAGACTCACAAGTTTAGGCTTGCTTGCCCATTTGACTTCTCCCCCCCCCACCGATTCTATTCTTTTTTACCGACTTCTTGTTACAATAGACTCTCCTTTTAGCAAGAGATATACCAGAAAAAAAACATTGCACTGAAAACCCACAATTCTAGTTCGATCACCATGGTTAAGGAGCATCGAGCCTTGTCAGCATTCAAACTTGTTTTCATTTGAGAACACCGGATCTTCTTCTATGTGCTGTGTCTGTTCAGGACTTTGGCGATCATAGCTCTCCACCACTTCGTGACATTAGTAAGTTTATACGTTAATAAACACTGTCTCTGTTATCTCACCTGAAAATTGCTCCGTCATCCATTTACTCAAGCACACGAGGTAAGTTATGCGTTGTTTTCATCTGTCCCTTAAGTTTTCAATCTGTCCTTTGCGTATCAAATTTTCCAAGCCGTCTTTCCTCCCGTCTTTTCTTCTTTATGTGCTCGAGAAATATCAACTGTCTTCTTTTGATGTTACGTATAAGTGTGCCTTTTGTGTTTTATTTTCTCTAAAACTTCGTCATTGGTCACATTTTCGATTAATGTTATTCTCAGAATTCAAGTCTCTTCTTCATCTGTTAGGAGATTGAACAGTATTCACTCAGTTAGCTCTTGTAACGCTTGCTTAATATTTAACGCATGCGTATTTGATATCAATTTCTTCTTCTCGTCCAATAGAAATCGTTTCCCAAGTTTCGAATTCACTGAATGCAACGATCTAATAGAGGTACTTTATCGGCGCACAAAATCTTACATAAACAAACATCGACAGGATTACGAAAACGTGGAAACGAGAGCTCCGGTCTATTTAATGTTTTCCTAGACTATGCCCTGCGCATTTACAAACACAGTGGTGAAAAGATGGGCACTGAATATTTAAGCATTCCATAGCACATCCCAAATGAAAAGACAAGGATCCTGCTCTCCCTCCCAAGGCTAATGTACTGATGATGAGGGTGGGGATATGCTTATTCATAGTTACCAAAAGAATTATCTTAAACAGGAAATTAACAGGCACACAAGATAAACCTTTCTAAAACAGAAAATATGATCTGGAATTGGAATGAAAACAAGGACCGTATGGTATCAAAACTGTCAGCTGTATACAACTGCTTTCACAGGTTAAAAGTTGACTTTGAGCGAATGTTTATAGGTCGTACCGAAGACATTACTTGTGGTCTGGCCCAACAGAAACATATAGAAACTGTGTGAATCTACAAAGCCTTACATGCCTGGTGAAGAAAACAACACGGAAACATTTCAATCTTCATTTGGAGTACGACAAGGAAAAAATAAGATCCGCTTTATATTAAATCTTTTCCTAGACTATGGCCTGCGCTTTTACAAACACAGCGGTTAAGAGATGGGCACCTTCATTTAAGAATTCCATATCACATCCCAAACGAATCTACTTACAAAAAAAGTCGATCCTGTTTTCTCTCCCGAGGTCAATGCACTGGTGACGGAGAAATACATGCTGACGACGTAGGTATTTATAGTTGGGATAAGAATAATCTTGAACAAAACCGAACATAGACTACGAAGTGTTCCAAGAAATTGGATTTAAGATAGACCTTTCCGAAAGAGAGTCTAAGATCTTAAATTGGAACGAGAGCAGTGATGACATCTAACTTGAATCCATCATAAACATTCAGGATGTGGAATTAGTAAATAGTAAACATTTCAAATACCTCGGCGTCGGGATCAGTTATAACAAAATTAGCATCGGAGATATGGAAATTTAACATAGAATAAGCTTCGCTGGGGATAGTTTTATCTAACGCCATAAAATGTTACAGAACTAAAACACTAACCTGAAAACTCAAGGCATGTTCTTAAATAGCCACCTCAGATCAAGATTTTCGTACGGATATCATGTATGGCATTAAATTGTGAACTCTTATTCCAATTCCAGATCTGAGATATGGAAATTGGATATAGAATAATCTGGAAATTTCTACCAAACCAAAATATTTACTTGGAAACACGAGTCATCTTCTTAAACAGCCTCGTCAGACCTTAACTTTCATATGGATGTCAGGCATGGCGCCAAAACTATTCAGAAATATCTAAACTGTCAGTTGTACACAACTGGTTCTTAAAATCAATTGTGAAAAATGATTTTGAGCGATTAAAGACAATGGGTCATAGTGAAGACCACATTTCTTCGAACCTCATGCACTGGCGCTACAGAATCGTAAACAACACTGTACCAAATAAGAGAAACCAAATTGCTTGAGGAATTTCAACAGACGCGGCATCCATAATGGCTATAACAAAGAAAGGAAGCCCCCGTCAATATTTAAAAGAGTAATAACAGCCACAGGATATCAGAAACGTATTTTCCTGAAAAATAGTTTTAACTGAAAGATATTTTATTAACTTAAAAGGGCAGTACGACTGTCGATGAATGTCAGTTGTTTCCTTATAAGAAAAAGGATAATAATAGCTTTACCATATGTTACTTAGCTTCTTCCTTTCTCATTTCTCATCTCTTTTAACTGCTTGTTCTTTCAATTGCTTTTTTTCCAATTCATTTCCCGTTTAATAAGAGTTTTATCCTAAAAACAGGGTACAGGTATGTGTACCATATGTTTCTGATAACCTACGTTTCGCATTTTATAATCTCCCTTCAATGCTCGTTTATTTACTTGTCTTTTCCAAACCATTTCCCATTTAATAAGAGCTATATCCAAATAATAAGGTACAAATATTTTTTAAGCTTTTAACCTCAAGCAAGGCGGGAGTGCCACTAGCACGCAAGGGGTTACAGAGTGTGAGAGCAAGAGTAAAGAGACGTGTTTGAGGAAAGGATGAAGAGAAGGACGGGGAAGAGATCAAGGCATCTGGAGATATCGATTGACATTGCATTTGAATATTTGGAGATTATAGCTATCAGGTCAGCAAGTAAGAGGAAGAAAGTTCCACAGACGGGAAGTGCGAGAAATGAAGCCATTGGAGTAGAAGCGACGGCTATCTGTCTATATCAATAAGATGAGTTATTATGTACACTATTTACATTATTAAGACTATTGTCTTTGTCGCCATATTTATTACAGCATATCAACTGACATCCATTAAACATGGCACGTGGAACTAGAACAGTCTACCCCCAGTGAGCGCAATAAAGGGTTAAGTTCGACATTCCAACCACCTGAAGAAGGCCGGAGCGTACAACGGCCGAAATAATAATAATAATAAATATGGCGACAAAGATGAGGACAATAGCATATGTTTCTTATCTCCTACCTTTCCCATTTTACAATGTCTTTTCACTGCTTGTTCCTTCACTGGTTTTTTTTTCCAATCCAATTCCCCGTTTAATAAGAGCTATATCCGAATAATAGGGTACAGGTATGTGTAGATCGATCGGAATTAAAACGTTGGGAAAAATATAAAACACACTAGTATATATATATATATATATATATATATATATATATATATATATGTGTGTGTGTGTGTGTGTTTTATTTCCGGAAATGCAATACGTTCTGTTTCGCGTTGATGGATTATTTGGTAAAACTTATGAAGTTTTAAGGTTCCTTTGTCGAAAATGCATTAGTAAGAAAGAAAGAAAAAAAAACTGAGACACAAAGCAGAAAAATAGAAGTGGAATTTTAATAGCCAAAAACAAGACAAGATGTTATCAGTTTTAAACGTGTCATGAAAGTAATAAGGCCGCATTTACCTGCTAGAAAATGCACAATTCACTCTTCTAATCGAAAAAGAAAATATTCCGTAGCGTTTCGTGAAGACAAGCCTCCATGGCGGCCTCATTTTTAAGGTTAGATCGCCACCCACCTCTATTTATCTCACCCAATCTCACAAGTTTAATCTTGCTTATCCCTTTCTCTTCTACTACCGAGTTATATTCCTGTCTATTATTTTCTTTTTCCTCTTACATTGACAGTTGGGAAAAACGAGGTTGCTGAAGGCACAAGCGAATATATAACAGTAAACATGAACTCCACAAAACATGGTTTCCAGTAATAAAAAAGAAAGAAAACGGAAAGAATTAGACTGTATAAGCGTACTCACCATCTTTTAGATGTTTTCCCCTTTCCTGTGGCGTTATCATACAAGCAAATCATGAAAACAAAATTTGAAAAAAAAAAAAATGAAAAGAAAAAAGTCTCTATTAAGCCATTATATGTTTACGTACGTCCCACAATTTCCCCGTTTTTCTTACACATTATTCTCTATGTAAACGGTTTGCCTCTCGCCAACAACGCCATCAGAGTCAACATACATACCATCTGGCTCACCGCTTTCCGTTATCGCCATCGACAATGCCACTTCTACTGGAATATTTTTCCCGCGTTTTTTTTCCCTTTTCCGGTCCGAAAATTCTTTTTTTTTTTCCTTTTTCGTTCGACTTCCCAAGCATTTTTCAACATATTCTTATAAAACACGTCACGGCCAACACACACATAAATAAACATGGACGCTTATATTTGCCTATATACGAAAATAAATAAAAAAAAAAAACAAACGTTTACACAACACAACGTAAATAAGGAAACACAAAGTAAGCAAGCACACAGACATATATATATATATATATATATATATATATATATATATATATATATATATATATATGTGTGTATATATATATGCATGCTTGCTTATGTTTGTATGTGTGTGTGCGTGCGTGCGCACACGCGCAAATGTACTCGAGAACATTTATACGTTCCAGCTATGTAACAAGGGAAAATAGAGGAGCATATATATATATATATATATATATATATATATATATATATATGAGTACATGAATACATGCATATTTAACAGAAAACAGCCACATTCATACAGGAAAAGTACATTTACAGAGATGCACCAAAAGTAGGAATAGATGAATGCTCACACACACACACGCATACACACACATATATATATATTCATGAAATAGAAGTATTGTTGTATTCTAACTATTGGTGTATATAAATGTGTAATGAATATGAAATCATTTACACACACGTACGCAGAATTGATACAACTTTATAATGAAAATGGCTTATATAAATATTATATATATATATATATATGTGTGTGTGTGTGTGTGTGTGTGTATGTATGTATGTATGTATGTGTGCTTTTATTGCTAACCTATAGTGGATACTCATATTTGAAACTAACGTCCCGTATTTACTTATGATTCAAACAGTCTATTTAATACATAAATAAAAACACGACTGTTTCAAATAAGAGTATCCAATAGAATTTAAAGTAATAAAAATGGCGAATAAATCTAATAATTCTTTTGATATATGTATGTACGATGTTTTTTAATCACACTTACATCCATGCATATATATATATATGTGTGTGTGGGGCGGTGTATTGTCATCCACGGACAAACTGTTTCGCTGTATTACAGTTCATCATTGGAGATAGATACCGCTTGCCTCTAGTTAGAATAGCAACACGGCAGAATTTGCCCCAGTCGGAGAACGTGCCATTAAGCCGTTGATGCACAACAGAAATGAAGTTGAATTTAAGCGTATTTATTCTTAAATAAACATGTCAGTTATTGAGAGAACGCGATTTGTTTTATCGAAGCGTATTGCATTAGTAGCAGTAATAATCTTTCTTTACCAACTCACACTTCTTTCCCAGAGAGGTCAACCGAAATAATTTTTCAAGAGCATATATATTTTCATAACAGACAGACTGTTTCGCTGTATCACAGCTCATCACTGTGGCTAGATGTGCGGTTGCCACTCGATAGAATCGAAACCCGACTGAACTGGCGTCAGTCGAAGAATATATATATATATATATACATATATATATATTGAAAAATAAAAAAAATATTAAAAAATTAAAATCTTCAGACACACTGGGTTGTAGATTAATATTCTTTCGTTTTTTTTATTATTATTCCATTTAGATTCCTCGACTAGTTTCGACCGAAATGGCCATCATCGGGAGGAGAAATATTTCTGCTTGCTTGTAGCAGTAAACTAGAGAAATGAATGTCTTTTGTTGGAGAAAATGAACTTTTGTCTGTAGTTTTCATTTGTTTTTTTTTTTATTTTTTTAACTTTTTAACGTGAATCTTTTAACATTCCTTGTGTTGGTCAAACAGTCTCTTTTAAGTTGTTATTTGAGATAAGAGCTGGATGGATCTATGCTTCTCTGAATTCCCTTGGTCAGTTTGACAGTTTTATTTGTCCTGGAGAGGGGATGTGTCTCTGTTTAGTGTTTGTGTGTGTGTTATTTGCTTCTTAGGGAGTGAGTGAGTATGTTATATGTAAGCGTGTGTATTGCTGTGGGTGTGTGTTATCATTTGGCTCATTAGGGAGTGAGTGAGTATGATGTGTGTAAGTGTGGATATTCGTGTGGGTGTGTGTATAAGTGTGAGGCCTCAACACCTCCTTAAGCATGTCTGTCTTATGTGGGTGAGAAATGTGGGTAGTTTTTGATTTGTTCTTATATATATATATATATATATATGTGTGTGTGTGTGTGTGTGTGTGTGTGTGTGTGTGTGCTAATTCCTTATTATACTACAGAATGTATGTATTGAGAAGGAATATGCATACACACACTAGCAAAAACACACACACACAGAGTCAATACACAAAAATAGAAATAGATCTAAAAAGATACAGGGTCATAAAGATAAGAAGGAAGACATCCTTCGTGTGCCTTTTCTCTGACGAATCCTAATTGTTTTATTATCCCTTAAGCAAAAAGAACACTTTTGCCACCATTCTAAATAGAAACATCTGGGTTACTACTACACAATGTCAATGGCTGAACATCGAAAAACATAAGAAATATATATATATATATATATATATATATATATATATATATATATTAATGCATTATATATATATATATATATATATATATATATATATATATATATATATATATATATATATATGTGTGCGTGTCTCTGTGTGTGTGTGTGTGTTAAGTATTAATGCATTTTTTAACCTGTCATTTTTATTCAAACGTTATTATAGTGGATTTGAAATATACGCCCCCATTTTATTTTTACTTTAAACGGTGTCGCAGGCCGGTAGACGTAATACACCAATTTTAAGGGACAGTGGATAAAGATGTTAGTTAGATCCAGTGACAGGACGCAAAGAGTGTGAGTTCAATACCTTGTTAAGGCGGTGGAGAACTAGGGGAGGGAAATTAACAGAAAATAACTGACACCCATTAGACATGACACATGGAACTCGAACAGTCTACGCCCAGCGAGCGAAATAAAGGGTTCAGTTCGACATTCCAACCACCTGAAGAAGGCCCGAGTATACAAATGCCGAAACGTTGTGATAAATATTTCAACAACGATGAGGATGATAGTCCGAACAATGTAAATAGTATATATATATATATATATATATATATATATATATATATATATATATATATATATATATTCTTAACACTAATCTTGTATGTATATATGCACATATATGTGAATGCATATCTGAGACATCCCAACCAATTTAGGAGCATATCATGACTTTTTCATTTTTATTTTGTGCTTCCATAATTTTAGTCTTTTTTTCCCATGAGGCTATTGTACTTGTATTTTGTAACAGCAAGTTGTAGATAGATTTTTGTATGTTTCTGTGTGTTTAAATATGGCCTAACTGATCTATCTATCTATCTATCTATCTATAAATAAAATAGAAATTTTGGAGATTTGAATAATATCACATAATAATTCATCGAATGCCAAAAGCGCTGGACGGTCGTTTTGACTTTTTTTGGTAATCATCGGCAGTGAGCATCCGCTGCCAAGAATCGAACCCGTACCGTTACGGAATTAGGAGTAGCTGCGCAATATTGAGTTCAATTAGGTTTCTTTTCGCCACCGAGGGCTATTGGCATGACGCTTGCGTTGTAACACGACGGTCCGGGTTCGATTTTTGGTAGTGCATGCGCACTGCTGTTGTAGTCCTAAAAAGGACGAAACGGCCGTACAGTGCTTTCTGCATTCTGTTGAGGATTCTTGCTCTAGACTCGATGAATTATTATGAGACACACACACACACACACACACACACACACACACACACACACACACATATATATATATATATATATATATAGAGAGAGAGAGAGAGAGAGAAATATTTTCGGATTTAGTATCTCAAGGACAATTATTTGATTTAGTATTACAAGGAACTACTTATTGCATTCCCTCTATATGTATGCGTATAATTACTGACACTTAAATATGTATCTGGCATATATATACATACATACACGCATACACACACACACACACACACATATACATATATAAATATGTGTGTGTGGGTGTGTATGTGTGCATGTAAATATATATATTTGGATATTTTCAGATTTAGTATCTCAAGGACAAGTTCCTGCTTTAGTATTTTTCTTATTTACTATTACAAGTAATTACTTATTGCATTCCCTATATATGCGTATGATTACTAAGTCTTAAATATGTATCTGCCGCTATATATATATATATATATATATATATATATATATATATATATATATATAAAAAGCCACATCCAGACACGAACAGCTTCCATCTTAAATACATTTTCAGGCAGGTGTCCACGTCCACCGACATCATAGGCAGAATCTTTTCACTCAGCAAGCCCTAAAAGATGCGCGTACTTATGGGGGTTGGGGGGGGAGTTGAAGAGCACAAGATGAACGCATCTCACCACAGGCAGTCGATACAAAATATAGTCAGATGCCTGCATCGGATGAAATTCCCCTTTCTGCCTCCCATTCAAACTCGAAACCGACCGATCAGGCATGTTGAAGTTTCATTCATTTCCGGCGGGAAAGCTTTCGGTCGACTTCCCGCCATCGGGTCACTGGACGCCGAGTTTGTATAGATCTACAAGCAGCCTGAACCCACCTACCTTGCGTCGACTTCCGAATTTGACCCTCAAAAGCCATACGCACACACTTAGAACCTTCTACCTACACACACATTTTCTTTATTTCTCTCGCTCTCTTTTTTTTGTCTTTCTTTCTCCTATACTTACTGATTTTTTTCAAAAGTAACTTTCTTGTTTTATTTTCCTTTTCAAATTATTTCTGTTGCGTTTGTTTAAGATTATTATTTGATTTTTTTATTCCTTTTTACTTTCATTCATTTCTTTAATATATGTCTTTGTTTTTCGCTTATTCATTACATTTCCGTATTTGCTTCTCGAAAGCCATTCACAGAAACTTAAAATCTTGCATTAACATATGCTCTTATATATTCTTACTTTCTATCTATCTATCTATCTATCTATCTATCTATACTGGTCGTTTTTCACCGAAAATAAGATATAACTGAGAAAAATGTTACAAAGACATGTTTTATATCATTGGAAACAGAATTTTATATTCTGCAAGAAAATGAAAAATTCCTCTCTCACTTACCTTGGAGAATTTTTCACGGACATTTTCTGAGCACTATTTTCTTTACAAATAAAGCAGGTGCTTTAAGGTGGAACATGTTTCTTAACCACCTGAGTAGTTTACACTTGTAAGTAGTTTTCGTGCACAAGTCATTTTGAACGAATCTTACGTCTTAGTCGAAAATTATTATTTCAATTTCTAATGTTTATTACTTAATTTTATGTTTCAGTTTGTGTAATCTAATCTGTAACTGCTTCATATTCTTATAGATCAGATAGTATCAGCTAATGGATTGTTTCAAGATACAGGAACATACTTGAACGTGGACTTTATTTGGACTGATCTGCATCAGTGAAGTGAAGAACCAACCAAGAATAAACCAACTAAGAATGAACAACTGAGAGTAAATCAACCAAGAAAGAACCAAACAGGAATTAACCACCCAAGAATGAACCAACCAAGAATGAACAGCTGAGAATGAACCACGCAAGAATGAACCAACGAAGACTGAACAACCGAGAGTAAACCAAATAAAAATGAACCAAGCGAGAATGAATCAAACGAGAATGAACCAAGCGAGAATGAACCACACAAGTATGAACCAAGCATAAACCAACCAAGCGATAGTGAAACACCCAAGACTGAACCCCTCCGAGAATGAACCAAACAAGAATGAACCAAGCGATAGTGAACCACCCAAGAAAAACCAACCAAGAATGAACAACCGAGTGTGAACCAAACAAGAATGAACCAAGCGAGAATGAAACACCCAATAATGAACCAATCAAGAATGAATCAAGTGAGAATGGACCAACCAAGTATAAACCAAACAAGCGTTAGTGAATAACCCAAGACTGAACCACCCGAGAATTAACCAACAAAGAATGAACCAAGCGAGAGTGAACCACTCGAGAATGAACCAACCAAGAATGAACAACCAAGAATGAACAACCGAGAGTGAACCATTGAGAATGAACCAACCAAGAATGAACCAAGCTAGAATGAACCAACCAAGAATGAACCAAGCGAGAATGAACCAACCAAGAATGAACCAACCAAGAATGAACCAAGCTAGAATGAACCAACCAAGAATGAACCAAGCGAGAATGAACGAACCAAGAATGAACCAAGTGAGAATGAACCAACCAAGAATGAACCAAGCGAGAATGAACCAACCAAGAATGAACCAATAGAGAGTGAACAGCCCAGAGTTAATGATATAGAATAACGGAATTTTGTGTAATGCCTATATTTTAACTTTTCTTTTTGCATGCTGCTAATGAAAATTTTCATGTTGTATTATTTATGCTACCGACATATATGTTTTGTGCTGTTCAGTTTCTAAGAGGAATGGTTTTCTACAATACAAGTTTAATAAAGCTGAATATCCCTATTGCTATTGTGTTCTTAATCGCTGGGTTCTTACGAGGATGTAGGAGGACGATACATCCTTGGACGCTACGTAGACGTTTAATATGATATATCTATTGGGTTGGTGCATAATTATCAGGCGTTTTAAACAATATTTATTATGAAAAATGAAACAGAACAATTCAACAATAACATTTTTAAATGAGTATGATTATCGACACGCATTTTTATCACCTGAAAATAGAATAATATTTTTATTAAAAAAAGTAAACAAAAGAGAAATTTTTATTACCAAATAACTCACCTACTAAAACGCCAGTCCAGTACTTAATAGAAACGGAAAGGAGTCCTTTCTTTTGTTATCTGTAAGTAATTTATTTCTATGTAGTTACAAGTTATATATAAATATCTTTGCTCATTCTTTCCTCAAGAGAGGAAATTAGGATCAGGATTGTTTCAATGAGTTGTTTTTAACAAAACTTCTGCTTTCGGGAAGGAAATCAGTGCCTCAATTATGCCGTGTTACTGAGTACCATCTACGCAGAAACCTCGGTGCTACATATTCTTTCTTGAAAGGCTATCTCAAGAGCTTTACGAACACACTTCTTTCTACATGCAGCGTTGATGAGCAAACTTATCGATGCTGTGTTTCCAGCAGATACTGACCAATTGACTTCTCATCTGTCAGACTCAGCTTGTGTAGCAGAACCAGATGAGGGAGGAGATTCTTTTCGGTGTGGAAGAGGAGTTTGCCTTTGTGCAGAATGAAGTGAGTTTCTAGATAGTGAAGGATCTCTTGAGAGAAGTACGTCTGAAGTGTTTCAAGATAATTTCCATGATTTGATGCAAGGCTATTTGCCTGAGAAACTAGAGCAGTATGATGTGGTTGAAATAAACGATTTGTATAATAAACTCTAAGCGTATGCGATCAGTACTGATGACATTGGCAAATCTTTAGCCCTCGTGAATCTGCAAAGAGTGCTCGATACTCTGTTGCATGAATTCAGGAGCATATCAAAACCACAATGTTATGGCTAGCCTAAGTTGAGTACATCTTGACGCCTAAACTGTTTATTCGTGCCGAAAGAACAGGGAAATGGAATTTGCATCTAGTTTATTTGCCACAACCGCCCATTTCAAATATGTATAAAGTGCACGATTGTATCTAGATGCTAGAATTGCCTGAAAAGCATCATTGGCTGCAGAAACAGTTCTCAGGGGATAGGTTTCATTTTGTACGACGCAGTGACCGTTACTGGGCCGGCTTGTCAACTGATCTCATTGTTGAACAAGTGATGATGCGACCCATAAAGAGCAGAGGTGGGCTGGCAAGGGTTTACGGAATCAATAAAATTAATCTGGGTGCATAACATGCACACCTACACCAAAGTGCCTGATGCCATGACAACATTAACCGGTCTTACCCACAGAAGAATTGAGCAGCACTGAGAGCCGACTAGCGTACTTCGGAACAGTGACCTTCTTGATTTGACCCGTGTCTTCAATTAGATCTCTCAGCACGACCTCTTTGGCCCTAGCCAGCCAGAACTACGATCAGTATCATCTGGATTGACAGCATACTGGAAGTAAAAGATTGAACCAACCAAGAATGAACAACCGAGAGGAAACCAACCAAGAATGAACCAAGCGGGAATGAACCACTCAACAATGGACCAACCAAGAATGAAAAATTGAGAATGAACCAACCAAGAATGAACAACGGAGAGTAAACGAAATAAGAATGAACCAAGCTTGTAGGAACCAATCGAGAATGAAACACCCAAGAATGAACCAAGCGAGAATGAACCAACCAAGCATAAACCAACCAAGTGATAGTGAAACACCCCTAGACATACGCCCCCGAGAATGAACCAACCAAGAATGAACCAAGCGAGAGTGAACCACCCAAGAATAAACCAAGCGAGAATGAACCAACCAAGATTGAACCTTGATTGACCTGATACTGGAAGTAAAAGTGACATCGCCGCGGAGATTGGTCACAGAAGAAGCTTGACAACGGCAAACTTTTAGAGAGCTCATTAAAAAGAAGTTCCCAAGTGAGAACCCTTGTTGAACTGGACAAATGTGCAATGATCGATGGTGAAAATGTTTATCTTGATTCTTATACTTTGGTTTCAAGACTGTTTGTTCTGCTAGAAGGATGCGAAGATGTGATTTTGTTCTTCACGTTCAAACTCACTACATTCCAGACTTCAAATTTCAAGAATTTCCAAATGAGAAAGCCGTGCCGAAAAAAAAATCTGATCCCTGACGTGCCTGAGTATCAGCTAGTAAGTGACTCAGTGTTTTAGATGGAGATACTCTACTCCACCGGGTGAAGTGGTTGCCTAGGGGGACATAAAGTGACGTGGTTGCACAGTACCTGAGGTACGTGAAGGGAAATTATCTGCCATCAAGCATCATTTTTATAGCTATGCAGACCCGTCCATAAAAGACCATGAACATCAGCGAAGGACAGCTCGAACCTCTGCTAACATACAAATAGAAGATGGATTGATAGTTGTTGTTCATCAAGAGATCTGCCTCTCAGACGGAAAGAACCGTTTTGCAAGATGTTATGTCGTTCCATAGAAGCAGACGGTACATTGTTTCTGAAACGCTCAGACTAGCTACTGAAGGGCCTATAGTGACTGCAATAGCTGATGAAACAGATATCCTTGTTCTTTTGCTTTTCCACTTTTCCCTGACATGGCTGACATCTAGATTCCTTCTGAGGGAAATAAGTCTGGAAGAAACATGAAGTTGCTGCTCAGCATCAGTGAAATCACAGAGAAGACACACTGCTATGTTCTGCAAAACTTGCCAGTCACCCACGCATAAGGTGAATGTGACTCAATGTCAGCTGTATTTGGGCGTTGGAAATGAGAAATAATTAGGCTTATTCATAAATCAATGTAGATCCCGTGCTGTTACTCTACTTTAGCCGATGCAATTGCTTCACCTGCCCAACTTGCATCCGGTACAAGGAGTATGCCGCAACATCGAAGAAGATGTTGCAGGTTGAAAGACTGTCTCCAATTGAACGGTCAGTTTTGTCTCACAGTCTCCGTGTCCATATTCAAGCTATGATTTGAAAGGTTTTAGGTCATTGCCAACTCGATCCTTGCAGCTGGGGTTGGTAACTTAGAAACGATATTTAGCCCCAGTTCTTCCCGATCTTGATTCTGCATCTGAGAAACTACTGAGATTTGTGCAAATTTTCTTCAAAGATTCCTTGAAGCACAAACACCTGATCTTGCCGCAAACATGGTCGCATCATGAAGTGATTGCAGGGACACCGATTCCAATAAAATTAGTGTCATGGGTCCTTACCTATAACTACAGAATGAACTCTTCCTAACACTATGGATACTACGCCTCTCAAGAGAGAGGGTCGAATCGAGTCGAGCCGATAGTAGTTCACTCCAAACCAGACTGACAGTCATACTAACACCTTCCACATCTTGTATTATTATTTCGTGTAATATACCTTCGTTATTTCTACTCTTGTGTTCGTGTTGTTCTTCCTGGACCATAACAATTAGTCTGGCTCTAAAAGAAGAAGACGAATGGGAAGACGATGCAAATTTATTTGAATGTTTATTTTAATTTATATCAGGCCATTTATATTGATATGTTATCTATTTTTGGTGATGGAGTTGGAGTTTCAATACTCGTTTGTGGTTTCTTATAACCTTTTTTGATGGAATGCTATAATCTGGACCTAGTATTTTTGTGAGTATTTTAATTAAAGATTTCAAATTCTATAATTATCTTTTTTTGTACTAGGGATCATATTTTTAGCAGACATAAAAAACACGTCTTTTTTTTAATAAGCACCTCTATTATCAGTGTGAGCCATAAGTTTGTTAAGCAAAACAGGACTTTCAGGCCTCAACTTGCTTAGTCGGTTGTTTGACGTAATGAGTTATTTCTATGTAGTTGTTTTCTTTATTATATTGTCATAACTTGCTTGGAGCACACAAAACCGCCAAGTCTTTCTTGGTTTTACTGACCAGACTGCCAAAAAGAAAGAAGTCAGTCAAGATAAAATTATGCTGACAATATGCCTCTATTAACAACAATTATAACCGTGCAAAGTTTTATATTCTCAGCATCAATGGTTCCTTACTTTGAAGTCTGGTTTATCAAAATATCACGTGGCCATCTTGAAAGCGCCACTCAGGTCTAAGAGCAACATATAGGTTGACCAGAAATATTCGAAAATATTTGCCTAAACTCTCACCTCTCTCTATCTATCTCTCCTTGCAGACTGTGTTATTTGTCAAATTCATTTTGACAGAACTTTTATTGGAATATAAAGGGTGCGATGGGTAAATTGTCGCTGTTTTATATTTTCAACTTCACGCATGCGCGTTGTTTGTTTTTGATTTTGTCGACTACGCAATATAGTAGAATCGGGTGGGCAGCGTCTATAAAAAAAAAAGAGTACCATCATGCAATTCACTCCACCGGAAATTTGGAAACGGCATGTTGTACTTCTTGGCATTCGCGCCGGAAGCTCCGAAAACGAACATTTCAGAGTGTTTGGGTGATAGTCTGAGGACAGTGCAGAGTATTCGGAAAGAGCTGGATGAGTCTAATGATGTTTACGATGGTACGACAGCTCGGAAAACTCATTCTACTCGTTCTGATAAGAATAGAACTCCCGAATATATTGCTGAGGGTCTCAGACTCAACAACTGCCTTGAGGAGGAAGTGCTGTCCTGGATCAAGTGGATGGCTGCTGGAAAACCTTATGCCTATCAACAGGACTCTGCACCATGTTATACAAACCGGTCATGGCTGTCAGACCATTTCAGCGACCACATCACCCAGACTGAAACACCGTTGATTATTATTTGTGAAACGCAGTTAAGCGAAAGACCAACAAAACTTCTTTGTAACACCAAAGACAAACTGAAGGCAAGGATTATGGTAGCATTCACCAACTTAAACAAGAAGACTGTCCGGAAGAGTTGCAGGAGATTCCGAAGTTGTCTGGAGACCGTGGTTGGAGCCAATGGCGATTTTATTGAGCAAATTTACTCTTTCGTATGACAAGATGTTTTTGTGTAATTTTCGTAAATATATCTGTTAAAATGATATGTCAGTGTTATTTTCATTTCGGCATCATTTAGACGACAATTTATCCATCGCACCCTGTATATCTGTTAAAATGAGATGTCAGTGTTATTTTCATTTTTTGCGTCATTTAGACGACAATTTTTCCATCGCACATTTTCGAGTTGTTAGTTGGTGTTAGTTTTTATGTTATCTACTGTTTCACTTCTATATACATGACTGCTGATATAATGCCGGCTGATAATGATGAATTATGGCTACGTTTTACTTACGGTTTGTTATTTCACATCTGTTTTGCAAATTACCCCACATAAATAAATTTCTCCAGGTGGTCCAAATGAGGACTTTTCAGTTTTCAAAAGAGACCATCACCTTTCTAAAAATACAATATTTAGCTTGGTAACTTTTTTTTTCACAGTGAACATTGATATCGACCAGACTAATCTATCTATCTGCCTGTCTTAATAAGTTTATCTATCTATCTATCTATCTATCTATCTATCTATCTATCTATCTATCTTCCATTATGAATTTTAAACGTTACGTTTCTTTTTCTGCCCAATTCAATCAATATTTTCTTTCTTTCTTTTTACTTATTCTCAATGTATGTGCATATCAACCGATAATTTATCTTTCTTTCTTTTTATTCGTACCTATCCTCTGATAATATCTTTCTTATTGACTTTCTTGCTTGTTTGCTTTCTACCATATTTATTTCTTCACACTTCTTCAAATTTTTTTTCGTTTTATCCTTCCTTTCTTTTATTTTCGTTCTCAATCTGTTGAAAACTCTTCCATGCCTTTAAAGTTGTTTATTTTTTTTATTTTTTGTATTCATTTAAATTTCATACTTTTCTTAAATTATTACGATTTCTTGCTTTCTTTCTTTTTATCTTTTTCTTTCTTGCTTTCTTTCTTTCTTGCTTTCTTTCTTTCTTTGTATTTCTTTCGTTCTACGATAGATAACGGTTCATATTTTTTCAAAAATTATTTTGTTGTCTAATTTTTCGTTTATTTAATTTTCCTTTGTGTTTATTTTTATTTTCATTCTTCTATTTAATAATGTCTTTCATTTTTTTCGTTCAGTTTTCTTTACTGTTAAAAATCTTTCTTTTCTCCTTGTATTGCGCCACATCCCTTCACGGCACAAGCAATCATGGCTCTTAGCTGTTTTTCTCTTTTTGCTAAGGTCTCCGTCCCGCGTTCCCCGTAGGCAAACTCGTCAGGAAAGTGGCTCGCTGCCTTCGCCTTTCTCTTTTGCCCTCAAAAAGGCCCGTGAGGATTTAAATTTTTTTCCATCGTTTTTGCTTTAATTGTTTTTACTCTTACTTTTTCTCCATCGGTATTAGTTTCGTTTCGTTTTCCGTTGCTATTATTGATTTTCGTTTTCCGTTTCTATTATCGATTTTCGCTTCTGCTTTTGACAATGTTTTTCGTTTTTTCTTTGCTATTTTTTAAAAAATCTCTTTTTGTCCTTTTCATCAACACTTGTTTCTTAAATATTTTCATTATTTTTTTCTTTCTTTTCAGTTTTTTTTTAATTCATTTCCCGAAGTTCGGACAGTTGCATTAAAAAAAAAAAAAGTGTTTATCGTCTCTCTTCTTATTTCATCATCATCATTCGACCTTAGGCGGGATCATCAAGCCAATGCGAACAATCCTTTCTTTAGCTGTAAAGTATGTGCCACGCCAGGACTACATACAATTTTGAATTCAGAGTTATTTTCTCCTAGACCGGCTGCCACCAAAGGCTATAGATCCTAGTCTGTCCTGCTATTTACCCATAGTGGGGGGAGAAGAAAGGGATCCATACCTTCCCCAGGGGTATTAGCACATAAGTGAATGTCACAGATCCGACTGGAATTCGAACTCGTCTTTCCGATTTTCTCAATCCGAGCCGCTATCCATTACTCCACCGTACCTCCAAATTTAAATACAACGTCATACAATTTCCTTTCCTCAATTCTCCCTATACTCAGTCTTTTCTCTTACTTTCACTCTCTGTTACCTCTGCTTACTTTCACTCTCTCTTACCCCTGCGTGCAACCATTTTCCCCCAGCCGAAGTGTTGCAAGCATCGGGCTACTCTATAGCTATATCCATGGCAAATGTTCTGACGCACTACATTCATTAATACCACAATGTCACGTACGATACCAAAACGAATAATTCCATTCCCTATGGATTCTATTAGTAAGAATGAAGTGCATCTTCATTCCGAGAACCTCAACTTTATGGAACAGAATCCAGAGAAAATGAAAAAGCAACCCCGATTTCTATAATCTTAACTTCTTCAAGTTCAACCGTTATATATCCTACATATCCTCATAATCTGTATTTATTACCACTTCATCCTCTTACGTGCATACAACAACCTTATTAGGTATAGCGCTAATCATCATCATTCGACCACAGTCAGGATCATCGAGCCAATGCGAACGATCCTTTTTTTTTTGCTGTATACTATATGCTACGCCAGAGCTACAAACAGTATTGAATTCAGAGTTATTGTACCATGACACAACGAAGAGTGCTTCTTCATTTGTGCTTTTTCTTGGACAATTTATTCAATCCACTTGAGGTTTGCTCGTTTCCTTTAAATATCTCTTATTTCCTTTCATCCGCCGTACACCACTAGACTGCTTGCCACCCAAGGCTATATTTACCCATAGTTGAGGGAGAAGAAGAGGATTCATACCTTTCCCAAGGGTATTAGCACGCAAGTGAATGTAATGGATTCGATTGAAATTCCTCAAACCGAGTCGCTATTCATTTATCCACTGCAACTGCACGTCTTTTCATTCATTTCTGTATTATTCTGTCATTATTAATTACTGTTATCTTTTTTTTTTTATTTCTGTCTTTCATTCAATCACACATTCCCTTTCTTTCATTATTCATCACATTTGTTTTATTTTTCCTTTCTTTATTATGATTTCATTTCTTTTTTCCCTCGCTATTATTTTCATTATTTCTTTTGTTGCATACGAACTTCATCTATCTATCTCTATCTATCTATCTATCTATCTATCTATCTATCTATCTCTATATATATATATATATTCATACAT